CAACATATCCTTTCTAAATGCAGAACTCAGAGGAATTTTCAGAATGGATTTTGCATCATAAGGGTTAAAGATCTGTTCTACAAGCTTTCTGTCCCAACTCCTCCCCCCTTCACTAATAACATCACTAACCTTTCTAACTCTGCCCCCAGCTGCCCTAGACTCACAAGTGGGTTAGAAATTAGATTTGTTAGGGATCCAGGGAGAATCCCATACATTTATAGAAGTTCCATCTTCACTTGGTATCTCATCCCTCTTCTCAAAGCCTCTCTAGTTCCCAACCACCCTTTCCAGAGCTTTGAATCCCCTTTTTTTCATTTCCCATAAAAGTACCTCCCCCTCATTACTTCGCTAACCAATAAATTAGGATGAATTAGCAGTCTCCAAAGTTGTTTGACTATGAGAGCTTCATTAAAAGTTTTCAAGTCTCTAAAATCCAACCCACCCTTCATCTTTATCCTTAGTCAGACCCTCCCAAGACACCCAATGAATTCTATCCCCTCCTTTCTCAGACTTACCCCACCAAAAGGAAAAAATAGCTTTACACATGTCAGAGCACACAATAATAGGGATTTTAAAACAATCCATCACATACACATGCATAACACTCAGTACAGTTTTTATGAAGATCTCTCTACCTGCTTCACTCAAAAATTGATTTTTCCAGGAGTTAATTTTCTTTTGCACACTATCACTAACATATCTGAAGATCTTTCTCTTGAATTTCCCTAAACCTAAAGGAAGCCCTAAGTACTTAGCAAAAGATACACTAGACATCCCACCCAAGATCACACACACTGCTGACTTAAGATTATCATCTGCATTCTTAGAGAAGAAAATTGAAGATTTTTGCAGATTTACAATTTGACCAGATGCCAACTCATAGGAATGCAACAAGTGTCTGATAAAGGGCCTATTGATCAGAAGCTTTACCAAAAATAATGACATCATCTATAAAGAACAGATGAGTCAAACAAGGACTGTGTTTACTGATTTTGAGACCCGTAAATTCCCCCTCCTAACAGCCTGATTCAACAAAATAGAGAGTGCCTCAGAGAGAATAATAAAGAGATAAGGAGATAAAGGATCTCCTAGTCTCAATCCCCTCTTAGGAATAACAGAACCACAAACTTGACCACTAATATTAAAAGAGAAAGAGGAACTACACACACAAGCCATAATCCAGTAAATAAACATATCACATTTGTTTTTTAAAAAAAAACCCTAACAAAAAACAACCACTCCGCTCTATCATAAGCTTTAGACATATCAAGCTTGACAACCATAAACTTATCTTTGCCTTTTCTTTTTCCCATTTACGTAGTGAATGCATTCTGAAGCAATTATGACATTATCAAGAATCTGCCTATTAGGAATGAAGGCTGATTGAGAAGGAGAGATGCAGGAGTTCAAAATTGGTTTCATTCTGTTGGCTAGAATTTTTGCTTTGATTTTATAAGTAACCGAGCATAAACTAATAGGCCTAAAATCTGCAATTTTTGAAGTATAATTTTATTTTGGGAATAAGGGTAATAATGGTGCGATTAGTGGCTTAAGGCATTCTACCATAAACAAAAAAATATTAATAGCTGCACAAAAAAGGGTTTTCACACAAGGCCAAGAATTTTGAAAGAAAATGTGAGCCAAACCCATCAAAAACAGGAGCTTTATTGGGGTCCATGTCCATAAAAGTTATTTTGATTTTCTCTTCATATACTGCCTTTGTGAGTTGCATGTTCATCTCATCAGTAATCGAAGTTGGGAATCCTGTGAGATCACAAGCTTCCATATGGGGATTAGAAGAGTTAAACAAATTTTCAAAATAAGCTGCAACTTCACTCTCCACCTCCTGCACAATAGAACATCTTTGCCCTCTAGAGTTCACTTAGTTATCCAGGCTATTTGTAATTCTCCTTTGCTTCACAAATTCCTGAAAAAACTTAGTGGTTCTATCTCCTGATTTGAGCTAAAAATTTCTGGATTATTGCATCCATAATTGCTCTTCTTTTTGATAAGTTGTATTCAGAAATTTCTTACAACTCTCTCACTCCTACCAATTTCTATATCACCTTTCCTATTCTAGCCTTTCTAATTTCTCCTTACAATCCTGAATAACCTTAGCAGAATTAATCTTCAACCCTTTTTTTCCACTCAATCAAAGCCCCCTTAATGTTCCTAAGCCTCTGGGTAAGACTAAAAAAGTTCGGGTCCTTCAACCTTTCTATTCCATGCTTCCTCAATAACTTGGCTATACCCAGTCATGGAGATCCATCTTGAATAAAAAATGAACCATTTTTGGTTCTAACAAAATCAGTGTTCTGCTTCAACATGATTGATAACACTTCTGCACCCCCAAACCGATTCTCCTCCGCTCCTTGTCCGGTTCTAGCTCTCTAAGACCTGCAATGACTCTGGGAGGTGCTCCCAGCGGTAAACCTCCGACGCTCAAGTCAGTAAGGAGTAGAGAAAAATTGTATGCAACTGTAAGTAGTGTTAGGGTTTGTAGAGTGATTAGCCTCACCATCATACCAGACCTACCTATTTATACGTAATTTTCTAACTTCTTTCGTATGCCTCCCTTCTCGTTCATTAGATCACCCATTCCTTTATGACCACAACACTACACGTGTCCCTTATGGACTAATTTGATAACTGTGACCACATGCTCGGCCAAGTCGCTTCAAAGCCTAAATTGCACACATAATGGAGCCGCTAATGGGCCGAGCACATGCAACATTAAATTGTTATGACACTTGCTCGGCCTTCAAAGCCCAAATTGCACACATAATGGAGCCGCTAATGGGCCGAGCAGATGGAGCACTAAATTGTATGACACCTGCTCAGTTTTTGACCGAACAACTTGTGGCTCCGGCCCGCTTAACCCGAGCAACCGTATGCCGGTTCATCGAGTCGTGACTATATGCTATATCATGATGGGACAATGATCTGAAAAGGATAAGGGAATATGATTCATCTCGGCATTAGGAGATTGGTTGAGCCATTGAGGGGAAAGAAAGAACTTATCCAACTTCTCCTCCACAAAGTTATCCTCCTTCCTATTGTTAGTCCGAGTGTAGGGATGACCAAGTGAGGAGAAAATGTAAGTACGTTGAAAAAGTATAAAATAAAATTCAGGCATTAAATTACTAAAAGTTAAGCTTTCCCGTTATCTGACCTGGACAATGCTAGAGATGTTCTCAAATGCTCAACGAGGAAGACTATATTTCTCCGAGCGAGATTTTGACACGAAGGGATGAATGGCTGAAGATGAAACCTGCCAAATGAAAAATCTTGATTTTAGGGGAAAGTCGTGATTTCCAGGTACATCATCTATTTGAATTGAACCCCTTTCATTCCAATACAATTGTTGCCTCAAATTTGAACACATTTATCAACTTTTTTGGATACTTCGCTTTGCTGGCCGGATTGTGAGTAGATTCAAGGTGAGATAGATACTCGCCCTCTTTTGTTCTTTCGATGAATAACAATACAAAAATTACATTGAACCCTTTATTGGTAGCTACAGTATTGTTTCATTTACGAATTTACGCGTAGTTACAGTGTTAGAGAACACTGATATTCGGCTTCTGGTTGGGGAAAATGGGTTTGTTTTCCCCTTTACAATCTCATGATAGGTGAAGACCACTTTCTTGTTTTTTTTTTTTTTTTTCCCTTTTTAATCTTGGTTTTTGCTAGCACACCTTTGTTTCTATGCTGAAGAGATATAGTTTATGTTTTTGCAATTCAAGCAACATCGGAGCTACCGAGCTACTTGAACTCTATATATGTAATCTAACTGCCTGATTGTTTAAGCTAAATGTCTGATTGTTTATGTGTGTATGTTAAAGAGGGCTTTTCTCCGAATTGTATTGTCTGCTAGCACCATTGCCGAAAAATAAGTAAATAATTGTTCAGGTGAACTGTGATAAGATTTTGAAGGATATTATCATATGGAGTTAGATTTTACAGATAAATGCTTGAAGGGTTCCTTTGCAATTTTAGTTCTTGGTTTTCCTTCCACCCCTTCACATAAGAATGATGTTGGTATTTATAAAGGGGCACTCCGGGTGTTGCTGTTTGTTAAATTCAAAGATTGGTATTAGGGAAAGGGTCGATTGATTTGAACGTATTTTCCCAACAGTTAATGCAACTTGCGTTCAAATCAATGCGAATGCATGCAAAATTCTTTATATTCTACAGTAGCTTGTAACGTTGTCAATATGATAAGCGAAAAAAGCACCCTTCTGTAGAAGCTGATCATATCGTCAAGAACACTACTCAACGACACTTCAGTAAATCCGTTATCTTCAAGATGCATTCTTTTCGTTTTTGTTCCAATATCTTCATTATCTTTCTTTCCTCATTGCGAATGTGTTTGATCGAGATCAGTGACAAGCAAGGAGTGAAGACTTACTTTTATTTTCATCTTTTAAGTCCCCAGTGTTCACTAGTCAAGGATCACCCGTTACATGTCTGGAAAGTTCACCCACTTACATAGCAAAGTTATAGAACTTAAGAGAAATATAACATGAAATACTCCATTTCTCTGTTATTGATCCATTGGACATGTATGGCTGGAATTTGCCTACTGTGTGTATATCAATTTATTCCTATATGTATCATGTATCTATTTTCTCTCATGACAAGCCTTTCTTTGTTTTTTCCTTGTTTAACATACAAACATATTAATTAATCAATTCTCACCTTGAATTACTCAACAATCATCAAATATACATAGTTTCGTGCTATCCAAATTGTTTTTCTTATACATTTTTTTACCTTAGTACTACACATTTACATTGTAAAAGCCTATATGTTTATTGATCTTAAAGTTCATCAGCAGTCCTACTACTTTATTCAAGTGATTAATGATTTGTGTATGTTTGTTTTGCAAGGTGTGGCAATAGTCATCATCAAGAACTCATCTAACCATCGTTTTCCCTTTCGTTTCTTCAGAGTGACTCAAAAATCTAATCTGGTTATCCTTAAATGCTGGTCCAAACATGCCTGTGCTATCAACACCTGAACCAGCTAATTTAACCGCCACGAAAAACGCTTTCATCTCGGCCGTCCAATTCGCCACATCTTCCAACGGCCCGTGCCCCACTCTAGGGTACGGTCCACGGGTCTCGGCCCAGGAGCAGGTGGAATACATGCTGGCTAACGACGAGTGCTCGCTCTCCTCCAACCATGACATTTTATCGGAGGCCAGAACAGCCCTTTCCCGGACCCTCTCGTCGTTCGAGCGCCAGCTGTCGGAATCTTCCGAGGAAGGGATCGCTCGGGGCCTCTTGGATCTCGAATGGATGTGTGGCGTCTCACCGAGGATGGGCCTCATGGCCGAGTTCGTCTCCGGGTGGATCGACTCGTCGGAGAGAATTCTAAAGGCTGTTGAGGCCCGTGGGCTTGGGCAGGGCTTTCGGGCCGGGATTGCGCGGGTAGTGTATAGGGTGTTGGATGCGGTAGGGTACGGGAGTGTTATCCTGCGGGCCGCGGGTCGGGTGAGGTTGTTGAAGCTGTGGGTGCCGTTTGTGAGGCGCTCGAGGGATGAGGTGCTCGACGGGTGGTTGGAAGGGGAGCGGGATGGGGATGTGTGGGAAGGGATAGAAGGGGCGATTGTGTCAATAGTGTCGGGATTGCCGTCAGATGATCAGGCGGAGATTCTGGAGGAGTGGATGGACGGTGGTGATCGGGCGAGGTACCCGGATTTGAGTGAGGCTTTCGAGGTGTGGTGTTTTAGGAGCAAGTCTGCTAAGAGGAGGTTGGGTTTTAGTATAGTCTAAGTCTAGTCTCTGAGTTTTTCTATCATTTTCTTTTTTATCCTTTTCCTTTTGTTGTTGTTGTTGTTGTTGTTGTTTGGTTGAGCTTCCATTGTTCCATTCTGAGAAGGTTTGTATGAGTTTTTTGGAGATTGGGCATGGTCTGTTCATTGTTTTCCTTGCAGTTTCCTCTGTTTAGCTGTAGGCTGTTTTGACTTGAAATGGTTGCCATTTTACTCTGTTCAGCTGTAGTTTGTTTGAAATGTATGCATGCATAGATTGTAGTCATCTACAGTTATTCACAAATAGTGTATTGACACGTGAATGCACTTTGGACAAGTATCAATACACTAAGGGTGTGTTTGGCAAAACTAGCTGATAAGCTAGCTTATAGCTTATATGTAATTTTTGAGCTTATAGCTTATAGCTTATGACTTATAGATGAAAAGCTAGCTTATATGATAATAGTGTTTGATAAAATTAGTTTATAAGCTAGCTGAAATAAAAAATTCAACTAGCTTATTATGAAACGCTACCTAAACAAGCTTATCAAATAAGCTCGAACTTTTTAAATAAGCTCGTCCTACCAAACGAAGTTTATTTCATACATGAAGCTTATAAGCTAACCAAATAAGCTATAAGCTAGCTTATTTGGTTTGCCAAACAAACCCTAAGTCATGGATGGTTCTAAAGAAAACCATCCGATGGCTCTATAAAATTTTTTCATTGTGGCTAAGTGTAAACTTAGTTAAAAAGCTAACGAATAATGCTACTTGTACCCCTTGGTGTACCACTTAGTTTACATTCAAGGGGTACCCATTTACCCTTAATGAATTATTTACTAAATTATTCATTAAGGGTAAATGAGTACATGTACCCCTTGGATGTAAACCAAGTGGTACACCAAGGGGTACATGTAGCATGATCCAAAGCTAACTGATAGCTTACAAGAGCATTTATATCGGTTCATATTTTTTTTTGTTTTGCAATTTAAATGTGAAAATTTTTTTTCAACCACTGAATGTTATTCAATTGATGGCAAAATAAATGTGTGCTATTTGTAATCCATTCAATATTTAAATGTGAAAAGTTTTTAGGCTCTTACATGTATATCGAAATTCTTCCTAAACAATTGTACATATATTAATTATAATTTTATTTGCAATTATACCACAACCTTAATTTGTGTTTATACACGCAGTCTAATCCCTAATTCCCGTAGCACATCCACAACTGCCTCCTCTTTCTAGTGCATTGCAACCACAATTCTCTCATCGTCCTCCTATGTCTGCCGCCACTGAGCCTCCCCGTAATCTCCAATATTTTCCCGCACACGGCCCACCCATTTTTACCCAAAATCTCTGAAATCTCCTGGTCGCGCTCGTCATGGCGACGGTGTTCGTTTTGTTGTTGACGCACACCGCCGCAAACGTCCTGGGGGCGCAGCTCGTCGAGGTCGCGGTGGTGCTGGTTCACGTCGCCGTGAAAAGGTCTGACGATTTGGTCGCCAACGAGGAGGGTTTATAATTTCGTGGTGTCCATTCACTTGGTCTCGACGTAATGGGAGGGTGGTTTTACAGGAACGCCTTGACCGTGTACTTTGGAATGACCATGCCATACTCCTCTTCCCAGAGGCCAAAGTCATCACCCTACCGCGCATTTGCTCCGACCAACTGAGTTGTAAACTTCGGTTGTTCTAGATGCGCAAGAACGAAGATGAACAATCAGATATGAGATTTTGTCCCAGATCGGGCGCCGCCTCTCTCGATGTTTATTTTACGTTTATTATACGTTTTATGTTTGGTATATGAACCGAATATTCGTACCCAATTTTGGCCCAAATCGGTCGCCGCCTCTCTCGATATTTATTTTACATTTATTATACGTTTATGTTTGGTATATAAACCCAATTTTCATACCAATAAATGTAAAATTAAACTAAACATAAACTTAGAAAATATAATCGTTAGTAAATTTACAATAAAAACCTGGTACATGTGCAAATAATTATGGTGAATTTGGTAGGTTTGCAAATAAATATATATTGAATGTATATGTGTGATATAAAGAATAATGGTTTGTAGAGGGTACAAATTCCTCAAGTTTTTATTCAACCAATATATGTTATTCGATTGATGGCAAAATAAATGAGTCCTATATTTGTCATTCATTTTATATCTATGGCATGATTGGTATAACGGAATGAAATTTAATAGGAATGTAACGAGTTGAAGAATGAAATGAGTATATGAAGTAACAATTCTGCTTAGGGGTGGGATTTTAAAACCAGGAACCGGAAAACCGAGCCGGACCGAACCGAAAATAGCCGGTTCGGTTCGGTTTTTTGCTAAAAATCTGAAATTTTTTCGGTTTGGTTCTATAGTCTAGAAACCGGTTCCCGGTTTTCGGTTATAAACTAAATTGTTTACAATTAACCGAGAAACCTGTTTTATATATTTATTATATTTCATAATATATATATATAGTGGGCCTGGCCCAATCTTAAATTTCCTTATACTATTACACTTAAATGTCCAAGCCCAACATTTTATTTCTGAACATCATATTTTTATTTCAATTTATAATCTCTCTCTCATTAACTCATATCAATCTCTCTCTCTCTCTTCGAATTTCTGCTCCTCTCTCTGCGACCCTTCAAGAAAAAAACCCTAAATTGAATTTCCAATCTCAATTTTCATTCAATCATCCAAAAAATCTTCAATCTTGTCCGATTTTTCTTACTTCGCATGGCCTCTTCTTCCGACAAAACTAGTGATTCTCAAAAATCAGACAAAGATCGAGATGAAAACGAGGGCAAAAAATTAGGGCAAAATATCCTTCTCCCCGAACTTGATCGGCAGCGTTACCTGACCAACAGGGGTTGTCATTTGGCCGTTGAACCCCTGGATCCGCTCCCGGCAGGGTTGCACTTCCTTCCTGTCAATCCCCATTTTCTTGAACGTGCTATAGTACAGGATGCTCGCATAGGCCCCGGTGTCGACCATTATTCGGTGGATCTTGATCGCCATTATTGGGGCCGTGATCACCAGGGCGTCCGAGTGGGGATGGTCGAACAGGAATGCATCCTCATCAGTGAAGGATATTTTGTTGGGCGTCGGCTCAGCCGCCGGCCTGCTTCTAGCGTGCATTACTCTCTGCCCGGCATAATAAGCCTGTCGGGCGTAGGCCTTTGTCTGCCTCCTCGAAATGAGGGATTCACCCCGGCTCGTGTTCACGCGCCGGGGTGAGAAATCAGCCAGGTCGGTTTCCATCCGCGGGGATCGATCTCTTTTTCTTCCCGCGGAGGTGCCGGACTCACCTTGGTGGGCCGGATTGAACATTAGGATCTCATTAGGCGCACCCGGCTGTGGTTTTCTCCTTCGGGGGTTCATGTCAGCATCTTCGTCGCTGTCGAGGCCGTCCCCGAAGCTACCCCCCTTCTATCTCTTCTCGCCAGAGTGAGTAAACTTCTTGACTTGAGGGTCGTCAATCAGCGTGAGCAGCGCCGCGATCAAGTTACGGCACTGGTTTGTGTTGTGTCCATGTGCCTTGTGGTAGGCGCAATATCGGGACTTGTCCACCTTGTCTTTGTCGGTGAACATGGGTTTCGGGTCTGGTGACAAGCCCTTCGCCTTGATCTCCTCATAGACCGCGGCAGTACCAACGGAGAAGACGCCCTGGTAGCTTTCTTTGAGCTCCTCCGCTCTTTGCTTCCTCATGGCCCGCACCTCGGCAAATGTCTTACTGGGCTTCCCTGACTTATTTTTATTCTTGTCCTTGCTCGACGTGGCGTCCAGCACCTGGATGGACGAGGATTCCTCGGCCATTATGTAATTTTGGGCCTTGGCGAGGAATTCCTGGTAGGTGGCTGGCTTGTTCTGGCACGGGGACCATTTAAACAGGGTTTTCAGCTTCAGCCCGGCCTGCACGGAGACGAGCAGGGTCTCAGGATGGCACTATTCCATATTTTGAACTCGGTCGTTAAACTGGGTGATATAGTCCTTCAGGCTCTCGTCCTTGCCTTGGACAATGTTGGCGATTGACTCTTTGGGGGCCAGGCTGATCTGTGATCCGATGAAGTGCGGTCGGAATGCCGACCTGAGTTGGCCCCAAGTGCAGATACAATGCGGATACAAAGAATGGTACCATCTCTGTGCCTTCGGTCCTAGGGTCAGGGAAAACATACGACAGTGTAAGGCGTCTATCTCGTCGTGCAGGTCCATCCATGAGGTGTAAAGGCCGATGTGGGAGTCGGGATCCGAGTTTCCATCATAGAGCCCGAGCTGCGACACCTTGATCTTCTGGGGCACGGGCTCGCGCAGGATGTCGGGAGAGAGAGGGGAGGCGTGGTCCACGACCCGAGGAATGGGTTGCGAGTAGTGGGGAGGCGATGTACCGCCTTGGGGAGAGCGCCGACCTTCCAGTTCGGCGATTCTGCGCTTGAGGGCCGCGACTTCGTCCGCGTCGCGCCCAATGTTTTTGCCTCGCTCAATCACGTCCCTGAGGTCGCGGTTGGCCTGGGTTTTGTCACCCAAGCGCTGATACACGGAGCGACGTATGACCTGGAGGCTCCGATCTGGCTGGCTTTCGCCAGTCTGTTTTGTGGGCACCGGCCTGGTGTTTTTATCGCGCCGGGCTTGGGCAGTGCGATTGGGCGATTGAGCGGTCGTTTTGGATTTGGCGGGTTTTTTCTGCTGCCCCCCGGCCTCCTTGTTAGGGGTCTGGAGCAGGGTGTTGACGGGATTTTCCGTGGCTGCCACGGTGTTCCCCCCGGGTGCCTGGCTTGCGAGGGCCTTGGCGAAGACTCCTTCCAGGGCTTTGAGAACGTCCGGATGCTGCATGGCGGCAGCAAAAGTCAGAACAGGTTGGACAGGGGCTTGAGTCCCTTGCTGGTTGGGGCGGGAATTTTCCTCGCCGTTGTGCCGGCGAGGCTGAGCGCCGGACTGCTGGGTTGACTCGTCGTGATTGGATGAAGTCATCTTGTACGGAACTCGAGGTAAGCAAGGGTGAGTGACTGGGGCTTC